TATTGCCCTTAATCTATTGAGCCAATTACTAGTCAATCAAGGATTTTCATTTAGTTTCAAGAGCTCCTTGGATAAAGTCTTCAGAAATGTCAAAAGAGATGCAGTCTCTGGCACCTTTTCACAGATGTTGTCTATCAGGAATTTTAGTTAATGGATAAAGTTTCTGTTTTCCATGGTTGACTTTTGGCACTTAACAAAAGCCTTCCAAAGTCCCCTGCTCTTCCGAAGGCTGGGGATAGTAAGAAAATGCACCAAGAGCACACCAGTTCCCCTTATTCCTAATGAGGTGAGCAAGTGGGCAAGTATAAGACTAAGTCGCCAGATCCAGTTTACTGAGAAATAGAATATTTCTTGAAGAAGCCCAGTTTGGCTTGCCCTACATATCTCACCCTGCTCTCGCCACTCCCAAGAATAGCCATCAAAACCATACCCAACAGGAAAAGTTAAACTGTCACATCAAGAGTTAAATACTGAACTGGTTCATCACAGACTCTCATTGTATGGTTTTCCCTCTCTGTTCCAAAGTCACCGGTGCCCTCTGCATTCCTTCTTTCCTACCTGCATGCACTGCTGAGACACACATTTCCTTACTGCTTTTACACCAGGCTCTGCCCCAGGTGGCAAGTACAAGGGAAATCCAGGCATAGTGCTCCCCTTAAGAGACTTTCAGCCTGGTGGTGGAGAAATCCAAGCAAATATGCAATTGTTTACCATTCTCAGAGGTAAGCACTGTAAGGCAAAGGGTGGTGGTGGGGGGGGAGGGTGTGGCAAAGGATTCCCTAGGAAGCAATGGAAGATTACATAAGCCCTCACGAGGTAGGCTCAGGGAAGGTGTGTGTAGAGGTCATGATGTTGACACTAAGACCTGAAGAACTAATGAGTCTAACTTAGGTTTAAGGACTAGAGGATGAAGGGCGCAGCGGAAACAGAGAACAGACTTGTCCCAAGGCTGGAAGGAGGAAGAGAGAGAGAGGTGGGTATGGAGAGGGAAATAGCAATCACCTGCCAGAGACTTGTAAGCACTTGGGGAGCAGGGCTCTTTTCCTGAGGATAGCAGGGAGCCTCTGCAGAGCCAAATGCACAGAATGTGATGTTACTCTGGCTGCAGAACATTCACATCTGAAGGGAGGCAAGAGTGCAGCAGGAGCATCCTTAGGAGGTCAAGACCCTGGAGACACAAACCTGTGCCTGGAAGAATGAGGAAACAGAATGAAACCAGATTAAATGAGATAACCAAAGGCAAAAGCATCAAGTTAGCAGGTTGGTGGATACTGAAGAAGGAAAAAGTAGGCTTTCTTTTTTTTTTTTTTTTTTTTTTTGTGCAGGGGATTGAACTCAGGGGCACTTGACCACTGAGCCACATCTGCAGCCCTATTTTGTATTTTATTTAGAGACAGGGTCTTACTGAGTTGCTTAGTGCCTCACCATTGCTGAGGCTGGCTTTGATCTCATGATCCTCCTGTCTCAGCCTCTTGAGCTACTGGGATTATAGGCATGTGGCCACCACACCCGACAAAAGTGGGCTTTCTTGAATCGCTAAATGAGTCCCTACTGTCCAGGGGCTACGCTGTGGGAAACTGTCTCTCTACAGCTTGCAACTAGTTTTCTTAGGTTTTCAGTGAGGACAGTCCTGAAGATCTGGTGCTTAAGGCTTTGTCCAGTCCCATGTAAGTCTGATGGCTTCAGAGATGTGACCCATTATATCTGGGGTCACCTGGTCAAACTACAGATAATATCTTTGTTCTAACCCCTGTTAAAACTTTCTGCAGTTTTTCTTCCATTGACTACTAGGGAGTGTTATTTGTGACTTCCTATCCTTCCGGATCATTCTCTATATGCTAGGAAACCAATATCATTGGGTGGAGGTGAGGATAGGTAGTACAGATTGGAAAAAATTTTTAAAAAATCAAAAGGAGGTCCAATTGCAATTTGAATTAATGGAGCCAGATTGGTCAGATTGTTTTGAGAGAAAGAACTCTAGCAACCAGCCTGTAAGAAATCAGTCACAGTTTAGGGGATGTGTTACAAGCAAGATAAATAAAAAATGGTCCAGAGTATCAGACCAAACCCTCATTTTTCATCTCTGTTTCACACTCTACTCTCCCAGCCCAGACTAATCAAAAGGAGCCTCTTCCGTTCACAATTGCTCTGTGTACATTTCCCCCAGATCTGGTATTCACATGAACAACATGGTTTATTTATATTTCAGCACCAAATTGGAAAGATGACATCATTCATTTACAGTCTTTATCCCATGACATGCCTGCTCTCCAACACCTCGTTTCAGCGGACACATTTAGGACTGCATATAGCATCTTGTTTAGCTTGTGCATTCTTTTATGGGATACAGTTCAAAGGTAGGGAACTTTAGGCTTGTTGCTGGTAAGAAAATAATCTCATGAAATCACAGGAGCTTCCCCAAAGGATAAGGACATTACAATGTTTACAATAGCAGAGTTATTATTTGTTCATTTGGGCTCCATCATTCATGCCTGGGCTAGTCCCTTCCTCCTTGACCATCGCAGATCTCACAGCTCCCTTCAGGCTCTCACAATTTTATTTAGAAGAAGCAATTCCAGATTTATTAGTTTGTGAGTTCAAAAGTACATTCTCCCGTGACAAAACTGGAATTTTAGGTGTGAACATTGAACTTCAGAATCCCATGTTCAAGGGCGGAAGGACTGAGGGGAATCTTTGGCACTTGGTCCCCAAGAGCTCCATGGCCCTGCTCTTTCTCACAAGGCCTAACTTGTCCATTGGGTCTTCTGACACATTAAGTGGACAAGGAAAAGATGGAAATGCTATCAGCTGCCAAAGGTTGCCTGGGATTTTTTATTTAATTTTTAAGTGGATCTTTCCCTATATTTTTATTGTTTTTATCATATACATGCATTTTTTTTTATATTCACTCTGGGACCTTCCAAATATTGTACACATTTTAAAAGATGGAACAAATAAATCATGAGATATCCTTTGGCAGGTAGAATTGGGTTGTGAGGTGTTTCCAAAACTTAACAGAACCAAGTCATTTATGGGAAAGCTATTTCTACCTGTCGAGCTGTTTGCCTGTTCTGCTAACAGCAAGGCATGGGAAAAAACCTACAGACTGAAGATTGGAAGACCCAGAAAATCTCCATGTCCCATGGCGAGAAAATTACTCTAAAACCTATGCCTTACTTTTCTAGCTGCTAAATGATGATAATAATTAATAATTCCTCCCAGGAAAGTTTTGAGAGTAAGTTAGGTTGTAGGGGGAAATACTGTAAAAATGCTCCATGTTAGGGCCAGAGTTCTCTTTATTTATCAGAGAATTATTCATATTACATAATAAAACTCCAACCAGTTGGCGAGCCTGCCAACATCTGACTTCTGGCTCTTTCAAGGTACTGATGGCTTCTTTTCATCTGGGGCCTCCAGCAGGACGGTTATGGAAACTCATGCCGTGTCCTCAACTCTCAATGACCTCCCCTGCACAACACGTGCAGTTTGTCTCTAGGATGGCAGCATCCTTCAAAGCCATTTCTTCAGTCACTCATTATAGCAGCATGCATTGAATATCTGCCTCCGCACAGCCCTGTGCTAGATTGTGGGGAGACGCAGATGAAAGAAACAGCCTTGAGGTCTAACAGCAGATGGACAGATAAATCCATGGTCAGAGAGCCATGGTAAGCAGGAAGCACGTGCCACCCAGCGTAAAGGGTGGGGGAAAGAAAAGCCTCCTTCAGGGGCTGGAGTGTGGCTCAGTGGTAGAGCAGGTGCTTAGCATGTGTGAAGCCCTACGTTAGTTCAATCACCAGCACCAAAAAAGAAAAAGATTCCTAGAGAAGATGATAGGAGTTAGTAACACATAGGGTRAAAGAAAGGGTCCAGGGGAGGTACTGGGAGGAGAGGCAAAGCAAACAGCATGCAGAAAGGAGAAATTTCATACAGCAATCAAGAATACCAGCAATAATGGTAGTAATAGTATTTGGCTTTTACTGTCAGCTCATTACGTATCAGGTACTGGACTGACACTCGAAGCCCTTCACCTCACTTGCTCCTCACAGCAACGTGAAGGAGAGATGACTGATTACTCCCATTTTAGACTTAAGGAAATTGAGATTTATGCATTGAGATAACTTTCTTGATGCAACACAATCAGCAGAGTCAGGCAGACCTGTCCCCAGATTTCTTGACTTTCTGGGCTGGGTAATTTTAACACTTTTTTCCCCCCATGGTCCTTGAGAATTTTTCTAGATTTTTGTGGCCCTGTGAAGTCACTTCCCTCTGGTCCATCTCTTGCCCTGCCTAATAGAAAAATATAATTCTATGAGTGTCAGGGGACAGGGGATTGTTTAACTATGATACCTACTTGCCTCATGTGACAAACTTCATGAGGTGTAAATTAAAGTGCTCAGCCCTTTTTGCATGGACTTCGAACCTTTTGCTCAATTCCCTCAAGGGATAATATCAGTTAAAATGTCCAAAGAGAGCCCTTCCCAAGAAGTCATCATAGCAATAAACCATCTCCATCTGTATTTTCACATTTGGCAGCTTTCGAGTGGATTTTCCTGCCTTGTCTTGTGACTCCATTGTTTGTAGCTCTGTGTCCCCATCCACCCTTTTCCATTCTTCCATCAAGGCTTCCTTCTCTGGCTTGCTCTGGAGTGTAGGATGTGAGTGTTGGCACTTTGTAATTGCAAGCTTACTCTGGTTCTCTGTCATTGCTTGATAATGTGAAACAAGTGCCTTAGCATATGTCCATTTTTTCTCTTTTAAGTCACAAGGGGGAAGTACCTTGATATCTACAGATGTACCATAGTAACTTTGAGGGTGTGACAAAAGCCTCCTTCACCAATTTAATGGCATGGTTCTCTTTATTGAGTTTTAATTTAACTAGAAATGATAACTTCTGGGTTAAGAGCAAAGGGAGTCCTAGAGGTGCTATCCTTATGCCCTGAGTCTCTTTGACTGGTCCTCTAGCTCCTGATGGAATCTTTCCTGGTTTTTGTTCTGCACAGACCCAGAACAGAATGAAGCTGATGGCAGACAACTACGATGAAGACCATCACCATTACCACCACCACCACCACCACCACCACCATCGATCTCCTGGGAGGTCGCAACATTCCAATCACAGGCCCTCTCCGGACCAGGTCAGTTTCATTGCTGCTTACCTCCAGGACCCCTTTTACCCTTTGGATATTTTAAGATAAAATAAATAATCCCCAAGAAATAATAAACAGCATAAAGTGATACGTTCTTTGAACTGAAACTAATAGCTTTGGTATTTATTTCCATCACTCAAGGAATCTAAATGTTTTCCTTTCTCCTTCCTCTTTAAGGTTTTGTCTTTTCTCATTTGTGCTAGGCGTTTTCTTTCCTCTCCTCCTTTCTTCTTTTATAGAGTTAAGAGACTATTGCTGGTATCTTATGGCAGGTTACTTTGGAATGTCTCTCTTTCTCGGAGTTTTAAAAGAAAGCACTTTGTTTCCTGGAGCTTGGCCACCAGAGAAGCCTCCAGTTTGCTGAGCACTTTCCTAGTAAATTCTTTAGTGATGCAAATTAAGGATGGGGTAAAACAACAAGAAGAGAAATCCATTTTGAGTCTGGTTTATTTAATTTGAACCCTATCTTCTCCCTTCACTCAGGGAAGCCACTGAAAAGCTCAATTGATAAAAATAAAAATCACCTAATTTTCCATTATATTCACACTCATTCACCAAATATAAAAACTATTTATAATGTATGGTATTAAAACTCTTGAAGGTGAATCTTAGGCACATTAGAAAATTAATGAAACTATCAGGATAATGTAGTCAGTATAGGCAGTTTTTCTTCCTTTACTGTGCTTGGTGATCCCAGTATACTTTCTACACTACCTTTCAGTAGGGGCAGGGCAATGGGCAAAGGAATGGAAGCCTCTGAGTAAGTGTGAATGTCTTTGGACAGGGCTTGGTACAGTTACCTGTGTGAAGAGGGGGCTTCATTGTTGGGGGAAGGAAGGGCTTGTTATGCTCCTAAAACTTTTTTCAGATGATTCTGTTTTCATCTTGTTGTCACTGGTATCCCAGAAAAGTTAAGGTTCAGTTTCCAGGTCGTTTTGCCAGGAGTACAACTCCAGGGGGCACTATTTATATAGAGCAGAACATTAGAAGCCCTCCTCAGTGCTGCACAGGGAGGCAGCCAGACCAAGAGGCTTCCTATCCCCTGGGCTTGGCCAGACCCTTGTATGCTGAAGCATTTGTCCTCAGAGCCCCCACCGCTGCAGAAAGTGTTTGCACAAGACATCTACATTTAGGCACCAGTTTTTTTTTTTTTTTGCTCTCAAAATGAATCTTGATTTGGACATCTGGAAAGTAGAGACATATTAACTGTATGTCATTATCTTGTATCTGAACTTTTATTTGGTTTTGGGTTTATTTATTCAGTTCTCACCACCATTACCTCCTCCAACATTCACCTACTGGGTGTACCTGGCATCCTGATAACTTGATCTCTTCACTCTTGTTCTTGGTCCCAGCTCTTTGGCTCATGCTCTTTGCTCTTTACCTTCTCCCATCAAATGTCAGTGTGAGGTTTTATCGGCGGGAAGCCTGTAGACCTTATGGTAGCCATTCCTCTAAGCACACATGCCGGGAGGCCACTCTAGGCTTCCCCTTTCCACCAGAGAGACAGGCACAGAGAGCACAATAAAGGCAGAAAGCATTAGGAGCTAAATTAGAGGAGTGGTCACACAGGATAACAGATGGTTTGTCTCATCATAGAGATACATGTCCTAATATGTCATGTTGGAAATTGGATGCCAGGTCAAATTTACCGGCATCACGAATGATACTTCCTATGAAAGTGGCCTTCTGCTGCTATTCCAGAGACCTGTAATCACAGGCTAGAATATCTTATCTGCTGGGATGGGGGTCTTATGTTTGTCCATAGATAGTAGAGGTTGCCATAGGGTAGAAATGATTGCTCAGGGTGGAGCCCTTCTGAAGTGTTAGCATTCCTGGAAGAGTGTCTGGGTACACTCTGGATACACTACTGCTTGAGGACACAGTGATTGTCTTCCACTTTCCCTTCAACACCTCAGTGAATGCTCTCAGCAACCCATGGATAGAGAGGCAGGCTCATCCCTTTTCCAGGTGAGAAATCCTTGCCCTGGGGAGGGGGTGAGATGCTAGAATCCTGCTTCTAGCTATTTGCTTTTTCAAGTATATTTGGGGCACAAATTCTGTGCCAGCCAATATGCAGAGACTGGAGAGAAGCATGATGAGCAGGACAGGATACTGCCTTCAGGGAGTTTGCTATCCAGTCTTGGGACAAGAATCTAGGTCCTCAAATATCTAGTTCAGTTCTTTTCTGGGTCATGACAATAAGAGCAAGATGGATTGAAGGTAACTATAACTTACTTAGGGCTCCTATGGTTTAGGAACTGACTCTGCAGTGGCTTTCATGGTAAAGGTGAAACTCCCTTGACCAGGAAGATAATTTTATTGTTTTCAGTTGTAGTCATGAAGGCTATAGGCTCTATTGCCATACCCTTTCAATTAGTGAAGGAGAGTTAAACAAGGAACACTGGTAGGGTATTTGGTTGACTCCAGTGATGGAAATGGCTAGATCTTTTAGTCTAGATGCCCTTTTAGATTACGTTGTTCCAGAGTTAGAAAATGATGTCCTCCTCTATACTTGAGACTTGGGACCTAGTAACAGTTGTTATAATAACTTTAATAACAGTTATTATAAAGTTCTGTCCCAGAGGGTAACAGTTATTAAAGACTAGGAAATCCTTCTCAATTGATTATAAGCCCTATAGGTAATTGTTAAGTCACATATACTAATATGTATGAGTAGTAACTTCTTGTTAAAAGAAAATAACAACCTTATGTCAGCCTGTGACAGCATGAGAATCTTAATCATGGGTTGATTTGGGTGGGTTTCAATTAATGTACCCAAGTTAGCTGAGATCACTTAAAAGGGAAAGATCTTTTCAGGGATTCCTGGCCCACTTCCCATGAATCTTCCAGCCTTGACCTTCCTGCAACTCCAGGGTTTGAGCCACAGTGTCTTCTGCTAGAGGGGTTATGAAATATTGACGTTGCCTCTTGAGTTTTATTAAGAGATCAGAATACATGAAAATGATGAAATATGAACAGTCAGAAAYTTTGCTATGTGCCCAGAGAAACTCATTTTTCCTTAGGAAATTCAAGTATTGCCAGGCACTTGCAAAATTATATTCTTTTTCCATTTCTTCCCCGTCCCTTTCTCCTTTACTATGATTTCTCCGTTACTTTGATTTCTCCTTGAGAGGAACTGAATCCAAGTATTATAAGTCTAGACTAGCATTTCCCAAAGTAACTTTCAGAACATTAGTCCCAGGAGGGAAGTCTTGAGACAAAGATTAGGTGGGCAAAGTATTTTGGGAAAGTGCTGCATATTTTAACTCTGTTTTTCAGCATCCTCAAGCATTTAGCAGATCAAAGGATCTAAAAAGTCATATAAGAAGGAAAACTCTCCAATTTTATTTAATCCAGCATTTCCCAGATTTATTTGATCATTGATTTTCTCCCCTTTTCTAATAACATCTGTGCTTGGAGAAATAGTGTTCTCAGAGTATCAGAAGAAAAGAGACTACCTAGTTTAAAATAAGACCGACCTATATCTAGTATCCAGCAGCATTCTTCATCAGAAGGTAGAGTTTTTAGGTAGTTTGCCCTACGCTTTGTATAGGAGAAGATGAAAGTCCCTCTTCCATTCATTTCCTGAGATCTTTTCTCAAAGTCTATAATACCTAAGAATGAGATATCCCACCAAGAACCCTGAACTAAAAGAGGCCTCAAGGATGAGGACCCAGGAAATCAACAATAGTCATAAATCTGCAACACGTAGGGATTGCAAAGGAATTTCAAGAGGGTGTGGGAGGATTTTGGAGAAAGTATAAAAGTAGTTAGTGCTACAATGTGGCAGTCACACAGTCTAACTCCCTACCTGAGAAAGGAACAGTTGATAGCCAAAGGCCTATGACCCCCAGGAGAGCCACAGCCATTAAATATGTCCAGGTTATACCTGTAGACAAAATCCCTATAGAGACTTAAGAACTCCTTCAAACAAAGTAGTAGTCACATGGACAGACAACAAGTATTTCCCATGACACAATAAAGATCAAATCGTGAATGAAACCTGCTGGAGACACAGTAGTGATCTTATTTTTGTTGAGGTAACCAAGATTGATTGTACAAAACCAAGTGGAAACTCAGCTTCTCCTAAATGCCTCTATGCCTCTCATCATCAGTATCATATATTATTTCTTTTAAATATTATCCTTCCTTGCCTTTAGTCATATCTATAATATCAAGTCTTTCTACATTCCTTTTTGTAGGCATCTTATGATTTTTATTGTCCCAGGAAAAGTCATATTTTAGTAAGCTTCTCCTAGTGGCTCCCATAAATGAACCAGCCTTATTAATAAGAAGGCATAGCATGAAAGTGAGTGCCACACTGCAGCCAAAGTAAAATGCTGAGCTGTCCTTTTCACATCTAAGATTTGCATTTCTGTGATGGGTATTGGATTGGGAGTTGGGTCTTTAAGGGCCTGCATGCTTTCTTATGCAAAATACATTTATATTTGTTAAAATATCTGCCACAGGCTGGTTCCAAGTGGCATTCTATGCCACTAGAGTATATCTGGCCACTAATGGTGACCAGGAGAAATCTCCTCTGTCTTTTCTCCCCCTCCTTCATTGAATGAAAATGCCCACTCACTGGAGTTGGGGAGCTCACAGGATTTTGTCACCTTTAATATTATTAATGATCTTAAGACACAAAACTAAAAATCAGTGGTTCCATGGGCTTCAGCCTTTGAGTGAGGATGTTGGTGGCAGACCTCTCTAGATATTGGTATGGATATATCTGGACAACTATGTATATTTAGGTTGCATGACCAAATCCCATTCACCTTTCCTAAAATGCAAATGTGCTCTTCCTTTCCACACTGAATTATATTAAATTTTATCTTATTGTGACTTTACAGTGTTGAAGTAAAATGTTATCTCATCAGTTCTCTTTCCATTTGGTCCAACCATTGTTGTCTTTATTTCCATTCTTCTGTTTTGTGCCTTTATTCCTTTCTTCTTACCCCCTCCATTTCACATGTCCCCATTTA